TTGGTCAATGACATGAGACAAAGTATATGTGAACTGCTGTATGAAAAGTGAATTTACTCTGTAAATCTTCACCCAAATCCTAAAAAAAAAAAAAAAGGTAGGTGGTTCAAACCCCCCAGCTGCTTCATAGGAGGAAGATGAGGCAGTTTCTTTCTATATAGATTTACAGCCTTGGAAACCCTATCAGGCTTGCTGTGGGTAGGATTTGACTCATGCAGTGGATTTGGTTTTTATAGTGATACTTAACATGTTTTACTTTTTGAGGAATCACCATACTTTTCTACCGTGGCTGCATTCCTCCCAGCAATGTATGAGTGTTCCAGTTTCTTCACATCTTCTCTGATACATGTAGTTTTCCATTTTTTTGTCACTATGAGTTGGCTTGGTGGCACTCAATAGCAGTACATGTGAGAGTTGTATCTTACTGTGGTTTTGATTTGTATTTCCTTCATGACTAAAGACACTGGGCATCTTTTCATATGCTTCTTGGCCATTTTTGTATTTTCTCTGGAGAAATGTCTATTCAAGTCCCTTGCTCATTTTTTAATTGGGTTGTTTGCTTTTTGTTGTTGAGTTAGTTATAGGAGTTCTTTAGATATTCTGGATATCAGATATTTTGTTGCCCAGTATTTTCTCCCATTCTGTAGGTTTTCTGTTCACTTTCTTGATTAAGAGATTCCTTTGTTTATCCCACTGTAGGCATATCGAAAGTTATGTAATGTCATTTTGTCCATTCTTGATGATGTTAAGTTTGGCCACTTGTTCATTATATAGGTGCCTTTCCCTGGTAGTGCAGTGGTTAAGGCATTCAGCTGCTAACCAGAGGTTGGCAGTTCAAACCCACCAGTTACTCTGCTGGAGAAAGATGAGGCAGTCTGCTTTTATAAACATCACAGCCTTGGAAATCCTATGGGGCAGTTCTTCTCTATCCTGTAGGGTCCTTATGATTTGGAATCAACTTGACGGCAATGGGTTTGGTTTTTCATTTTGGTTTCTTCTGTGGGATAATAGTTTAAGATCTTATGGGCATCCTGTTCCTGAATGGCCTTTTTTTTCCCAGTGGTTTTATTATCTCTTCATGATCTTCATCATGCATCAACTGTTACGGTAAGCTTGAAAAGTGGTGATTTAAAAAATTCTGTCATTCCTTCTATGTTTATTAGTAAGTATTCTCCTATAATGAGGATGTTCCATATTGACCCCTACCCCCGTTTTTTAATATCATCGTGGACTTAGGATTCTTTTTGTTGTCGTTGTTCAGAGTATTTTTTATTATTATTGTTACCCTTTTCATACTCAAAATGTCCCATATTTTGTCAGGGGAATGCTTTCAAGTCAGCTCCTGTGTTTTGTTGATACATCTCCATTATGCCTTGAATAGTTCTTACTTTCTGGCAAAACTTTCAAGATCCGGTTCTGCCCAATGCCTGGAAGTAGTCATTTTTCCAAGGAGACCTGGTTCTTTTAGTGGGAAATAATAGTATTTTGAAACCAAGAACTGAATCTTGTGGTTACTAGTGGATCATTGCTTCTGTGTACTTTTAATAGACTTTTTTTTTTGAACTTTAGCTTACATTGGCTATCTCCAATTGAAATCTAATACCTTAGGGTTCTTCTTTACCTTCCTCCATTCCATGTTTATATATTCCTTCTTCCATTGTGAGAACCCTCATCTCCAAAACATAAGTATATTTTATTCATGTGCTCCATCCAGCCCTACACACCAATAATTTCAGCAGTAAACCTCTACTAAATAAACAACAAATTTCTGGTGCTTAGATTAAAACCCTATTTCAAGTAGATTCTGTCTAATAATGACTCTATAGGACAGAGTAGAACTGCTCCATAGTGTTTTCTTGGCTGCAGTCTTGACGGGGGCAGATTACTAGGTCTTTCTTCAATAGAGCTGCTGGGTGGGTTCAAACAGCCAGCCTTTTAGTTAGCAGCTGAGCAGATACTAGTTGCTTTTCACTTTCCCAAAGTGTCTCATCTTTGCTATTTACCATATCAACATTTTTAATGATGCGGTAGATAAGGTAGGTTAGTATTATATGGGATGTGTTTTAGGTGCTAAAGTAGGAAACTTTTCAATCAAAATATTTGGTGTTACAGTGAAGTTTTTAAATTATTTTCATTGTTAGTCATAAAATATGAGGTTCAGTATTTTTAGCTGGTGTGTCATCTGAGACTCAGGTTAGTCGGTTCTTTAAGCATTGGATAATGTCACCTGAGTTACCAGTGTCTTCATGTATAAAGTGGTGGTAATGATACCTTATGCATTGGGTTGTTACATGAAGTAGGAGCTCTGGTAGCATAGTGGCTAAAGCACTTGATTGCTAACCAGAAGGCTGGTGGTTCAAACCCACCAGCCACTCCTCGGAAGGAAGGTTGGGCAATCCTACTTCCGTAGTGATACTGCCTCGGAAACCCAAGGAGGGGTCGCTATGAGTCGGGGCCGACTTGACGGCACATAACAACAACAACAACAACAAAACAAAGAGGTATATTTCATCTAAGACATGAATAGAAAAGTATTATTTAATTTAAAATTTGGGGTCTCTTGAAATATTATTAAAAATAGTTCCTATTGTTGTTTACTTGAGTGGTTTAATTACAAATGTATTTATCCTTCTTTCCTCAGGAAGATACATTTTTATTAAAGGAGCAACTTCGTAAAGCAGAGGAACAGGTTCAGGCAACTCGACAAGAAGTTGTCTTTCTGGCTAAAGAGCTTAGCGATGCTGTAAATGTGCGAGATAAGATGATGGCAGATCTACATAATGCACGCTTGGAAAATGAGAAAGTAAAAAAGCAGTTAGCAGATGCAGTGGCAGAACTTAAACTGAATGCTGTGAAAAAAGATCAGGTAAAGCAGGTTGATTTTGAATTTCCTTATAATTTTGATCACAGGAGAAAACATTCCAAGTTAAGAAAGTAAACTATGTCTAACAAGTCAGGTCACATTCCTGATTACAGGATTTTACATTTCTTTCTGTGGAGCCATTGTTCAGTCTTAGGTTGAAATTAATATGTGCTTTAAAATAATTCTAGCAACTATTCTTAATAGTAAAAACTTATTATTAAGACTTTTTGATGTTAGATATACATTGCTTTTTTGACATTTCTTACTTAGCAGCTGCATAAAACATTACGGTTATTGAAGAGAGTAATACTTTCTGCTCAGGAAGTGGATTATTTTTCTCAAGTTTTTTTTTTTTTTTTTTAAACATACTTTAGGCCTAAGAATATAAATTTAGGTTTATTAGAAGAGCTAATGTAGCTCTGTAGCCAAAAGTCCAACACAAATAAAAATTAAAAATGAGAATAAAGCAAAAATGAAGCTGGAATTCACTACTTTTGTTTTTTTTATTGTGATTTGGATGAAGATTTACAGAGCAAATTCACTTTCCATACAGCAGTTCACATATACTTTGTCTCATGTCACTGACCACAGTTTACCACAATGCAACAGCTCCCCTTCCACTTCCTCCCATAGTTACCTCTTCCCAGTGTCCATCACTCCATACACTCCTGCCCCCTGGGCTGTCTCCCTGTGCATAAGCAGCCCTTCTTTCTCCCATGATTGTTCTCTCCAAGGTGTGTGTCTACTTGAGGTAAATGTTTAACTCACATGCCTGTGTTTTGTTTGACTGGAAATCACGGGTGTGGGTTCAATTCCAGACCTGAAGGGTAGCTAGGGGCCATAGTCTCAGTGGTTCCACCAGGCTCTATCAGACCAGCAAACCTGGTCCTCACCTTTTTTTTTTCCTCCAAATGATTTTGAGTTTTGTTCCACATTGTTCTCCCTCTCTATCCAGGATCTCCTACATCCCTTCCTAGTGGATGACAGTGGTAACTGGGCACCATCTAGTTCTTCTGGTCTCATAGTTGTATAGGCTGCAGATCGGATGGTGTACCAGTCACTAGGACTAATTGTTTCCATGAATTTTGGTTTTCTTCATTCTTCTTTACTCTTGACGAGGAGAGACCTATTGTTGCATCTAGATGGCAGCTTGCTAGCTTTTAAGATCCCAGTCGCTACTTGCCAAAGTAGGAGGTGGAACAATGTTTTGTATAGTATGTTTTGCCAATTGAGCTTGATGTCCCCTGTGACTATGGTCCCAAGCTCGCAGGTTCAACTACTCAGTCCCTCTGGGGTAGCTGGCTGTGACAAAGCAGTGACCACAACCTTGCCCCTTGTCAGCTCTACTATACACCTGGGAATTCTGATCATTCACGTAAACTTAAAGGACCATTGTCTGCCAACCCTATATATGTTCTTGGATACACTCCCCATTTCATACACATACCTAATCGTTTAGCCTGTCCACCCATATATCCATCCATATACCCATGTTTGCCTTCACTGACAACACAGTACTGTATGTGCAAAAGCATTCATATTTTTGGTCTGTACCTCCCATGTACCTCTCTATGTCTTTCTCATCCTCAATGCTGCCATATTGGTCACTCACATTTGGTACATTGCCCTTCTCTTAACCAAATCAATACTTATATCTCTATCTATCTAACAGTGTTCCCTCCCCTCCCCTCCCACCCCTGGTAACCAATAAAGAAAATTTCCTTCTATAGATAAACCTTTCCTTAACTTTTACAATAATGGACTAATACAATATTTGTCCTTTTGGGGATTCACTACTATCTTAAGGTAACTGATTTATACCTTTTTCTTAGAGGAAGTGTTATTTCTCTGTTAGGAAAAGACTGATACACTGGAACATGATCTGAGAAGAGAGGTTGAGGATCTGAAACTCCGTCTTCAGATGGCAGCAGATCATTACAAAGAAAAATTCAAGGAATGTCAGAGGCTCCAAAAACAAATTAATAAACTTTCAGAGCAATCAGTAAGTATTATTGAATTTATATGTAGTAAAATAATTTCTTTATCAATATTTTTGTTTACAAACCAGATTTATAATAACTCTAAATATCAGCCTTTGGGATATAATTGATCTCTGTGTGATTCTTTGGCCTTATACTATAATGATAATTTTAAGACAAAGTATATAACTATTATTGACTGGAAACCAACAAAAGCAAGGACAGCAGCAGGAAAAAACAGGCGCCTGAGCCTTCATTTCTGGACCAGTTTCTTTTAACTTCTTGGTGAATGTCTTTATCATTTAAAAACTCCGTACGTATTACTGAATCCTTCCTGTGACAAAGGGATTCAAGGAATGTCAGTAGGGTTTACCATTAATCATCCTGATCATCATCCCTAGGGTCTTAGATTATTCGTGAGTTCTTCCATCATATTCATATCCACTAGATTAAGAAGAGTTACAGAATGTCAGCCAATTATTTTTTATTCCATTTGAGAGTGAGTGGGTATATTTGCAATAAAACAAAAGAAAATACTTTTGTTTTGATATGTATGTTTTATTGTGGGCCTTTAAGTTCTGGTACTCAGATACAAAGCTTGTTATGTACTGGAGTCCTGGAAGTGGAGAAGAAAACATGTAAAACCTGAAGTTGAAGATGCACAGTCTTCTTTGCAAACACAATTTGTCTTCTATACAGTTTTATTTGTATATTATATGATGCAAATCATATTTTCTCAATCTTTTTTTTTTTTTTAATCTGAAAGGACACCATAAAAAAGGCAAGAAGTGCATGTGATAAAGTAGGAAGCCTTTTGTGAGAAAACATCACATTTTAAGTTTGACCCACATGTAAAAATTTTTTAAGCATATTATGAGTACCTTTTAAGCATATTATGAGTTTGTAGTAGAAAACTCGTGAGGAATTCACAAGTGACATTTCTGTGAATCACTTGTTTATTGTTATTTTGATGATTTCACAAGAAAAAGCAAACTAAAACATTTTTCATAATATTTAGCTTATTTAGGTGGTATGTGTCATTTCAGTTTTTGTTAGCTTCTTGAACAATAGCAACTTTGTGGATTTTTTAGGGTATCTTTTTATGATTGTTTACACTGAAGGGAAGAAATAAGTCATTCACTGACTCGTTTAACAATTGATTGTTAACATTTTGAATAGGCCAATAATAATAGTGTCTGCACAAAGAAAATTGGGAATCAGCAGAAAGTGAATGATGTTGCAATAAATACAGACCCAACGACTGCTTCTGCTGTAGATGGAAAGCCACCGCTCTCTGCAGGTAAAATCTTTTAGACATATTGTGTAGAGTGTTTTGCCTTAAAAAGTGTTTGTATTTATTTATACTGCCTTATTCTGGAGAGCTTACAAAAATCCTTACGTTATAAGTGAGGTAATTGAAGTAAAAGGAAAATTAAGGTATAGAAGTAAGATGAAGTCATATGTGGTGAATATACAAAATATGAGTGTGAATTTGTATTATCTTTAAAAGAATATTTATAAGTGTTAAATTAGTTGTTGATTTTAAGTACTTATTTGGACTAAATAGGAAAAAGCTAAGAGTTGAATTTTTACATAATATTGCATTAAATTTATGGAATTTTAAAGCATTTTATTAGTGGGATTTTTAATTGAACAATTCTCTGGGGAGAAAAACTTGTAAATCCCCTATTGTACATGTGTTTCTGTATCATTTTCTTGTCTACTTTGGACCAGTAAGTTACCTTTCTGTTTGGTATACCTGTTGGAGGATAAGTCACATTTTTACTGGTCAGTTTATTGTTTATTAACTTACAAAACAGATTAGAGAGACAGTGAACAAATGAGTAATGTGGAAATTTAAATTTTAGCTCTAGGTTTTTCACTTTTCCTAATTTTTTCTTTTTTTTAAACACACACACACACACACACACACATATGTAATCTTAGATTTGACAATGATAAAATTAAGTATTGTGGCAAAATATAAAAAGGTTACCATTCTAACCATTTTTAAGTATACAGTTGACATTAATTATATTCACCATATTGTGCTACCATTACCACTATCTATTTCTAAAAGTTTTACATCACCCCAGACAGAAACACAACACATTTTAACAATCTTCTTTTCTGCCTTGTTATAGCTGAGACCGATTTTGACATGATAACAAAGGGGCAAGTCTATGAAATGACCAAAGAAATTGCTGACAAAACAGAAAAGTATAAAAAATGTAAACAGCTCTTGCAGGTAAGTTTGCTACCTTGTAGGTGAAAGATACAGTTAGTAAATGTAGATGGCTTAGCTTATGTTTATTGTTTTGATTAACTGGTATCCTGAGGTTTCTTTTTTATCCCCATATACTAGTATTTAGTTTCACTTTTGGAGTGATAAAACCAGAACCAAAGTCAATGCCATCAAGTTGATCCTGACTCACAGAGACCCCTTCTTAACCCCTCCTTGGGTTTCCGAGGCAGTATCACTACGGAAGTAGGTTGCCCAATCTTCCTTCTGAGGAGTGGCTGGGAGATTTGAACCGCCAGCCTTCTGGTTAGCAGTCAAATGCCTTAGGCACTATGCCACCAGAGGCCCCTTTGGAGTGATGAGGAGGGTGTTTTGTGTACCTGTTTTCACAAGGCCTGTGAGTAAAATCATATCCTCAAGTTGTTTTATTCTGTTCACTTAATAATCTTTCTACTGATAGCGAGCAAGTGGTTCACTGAGGTTCGATATTGTCTGTCTTTTTAATACTATAAATATAAATGAGAAATGTTTCAACTTCATGAAAGCAAAGTGTTCTTTTTCTATTTACTATAATCATAGCAAGGGAGTTCTGGTAGCATAGTGGCTAAAGCAGTTGACTGCTAACCAGAAGGCTGGCGGTTCAAACCCACCAGCCACTCCTCGGAAGGAAGGTTGGGCAATCCTACTTCCATAGTGATACTTCCTCGGAAACCCAAGGAGGGGTCACTATGAGTCGGGGCCGACTCCACGGCACATAACAACAACAACAACAACAACAACAACAACAACAACAAATAATCATAGCAAAGAATTATGCCAAATCCTAAAGTGATCCGATATGAAAAGTGAAAATAGAGAATGTCATCCAAATGAGCTGTAGTCTCTTATATTGTTACATTTCGCTTATTTTTAATGGTACCATTCAGACTTTTCAGTTTTGAGCTTTCTTGGAAGCATTCCTTCCTGGAGTATTTAAAGAAGAGAGAGAAAATGCTTCTCCTTTATGCTTGATTTAGGGTAGGGAGGAAAAGATGTTTTGTGTTTGTATGTGGATTTTTGTTGTTGTTCCTTAATTTTGTGTGTGTGTATGTGTTTCTGTGTGCTTCTGGGAAAGGGAGAGGTGTTATTAGAGCTACAGAACAAAGTTCAGACATCAGCTCAACGTTACTGTAGTAGTTGATTTAAAATATTTTGTGCACTCCCTTCTAAATGACACCAATGTAATTTGTAAGTCACATGTTTTCAGTAGGATACTTTTACATCACAAAGGATCCTTCTGTAGAAAGATTGATTAGAACAGTTTTAACCTTGAGTTCAATTAGTTGTTCAGAAGGGACGAAACTATTTCTTCATTAGGGAGGAATCAGTTCTAGATGAGTGTTATAGAAGTCTCATTATCCTACTAATATTGAAATGAAGATTAAATGCTCCATCAAGCAAAAAACTTCCTTAAGGAGCATTTTGTTTTTTTAAAACTATGTAGAAGTATAATGGAAATCCAGTAAACTGCACATATTTAAAGTGTTTAATTAGATCAATTTTGACATACATAGTCATGAAACTATCAGCACATTATCAAGATACTATACATTTTCATTTCCCCCCAGAAGTTTTTCTGTGACCATTTGTAATTCACCCCTCCTTCTGTCCCTCACATCAAGTTACTATTGACCTATTTTTTTGTCACCTTTGTAGAATTTTATAAAAATAGAACTATACAGTATGTACTCTTTTTTCTTGGCCTCTTTCAATGTAATTCTTTTGAGATTCATGCACATTGTTAGTTCAAACTGGTAATTTAATCCTTTTCATTCTTGTAGTAATCCATTGTGTACAGATAGCATTATTTGTTTATCCATTCACCAGCTGATGGACATTTGAGTTGTTCTGAGTTTTTGGCTGTTACAAATCAAGCTGCTATGAACATTCGTATACAGGTCTTTTGTGGAAATGGTTTTTCTTGTTTCTCTTTGATAACTATTTAGGGATGAAAAGCCTGGATAATATGGTAGGTGAATGTTCAATTTTATAGGAAAATGCCACCGTTTTCACAAGGTGGATATGCCATTACATTCTTACCAGCAGTGTATGGTCAGTCTTTTTAATTTTAGCTAATCTAATGAGTGTGTAGTGATAACTCATTTTTGTTAAATTTGCGTATCTCTAATGAACGTTAATGTCTAGGACTTTTTCATATGTTAATGGTCACACATACACTTTTCTTTGCATGAAATGTCTATTCAGGTCTTTTACCCCTTTTTGAAAATTGGGTTGTTTGTTGTCTTATTGGAGTTTATTCTGGATAAAAGTTCTTTGATAGAAGCATGATGAGTATTTTCTCAGTTCTGTTGCTTATTTTTTCATTTCCTTAATGGTGTTTTTTGAAGAACAGAGATTTTTTAATTTCAGTGAGATACTGTTTATCAATTCTTTCATGTTTTGTGCTTTCTGTGCTTTGGAAACCTCTGTCTGATCCAGGGTTGTACAGATTTTCTCCTATATTATCTTCCAGAAGTTTTATAGTCTTAGGTTTTACATTTAGGTTTATGAGTCATTTTGAGTTAATATTTATATACATTTTGAGGTATGATATATATGATATGGATATTCAGTTGATAAGGCTTTTTTTGTTGGAAAAATTTCCTTTTTCCTTTGAATTGCTCAGAACATACTTTTAAACTTTAACCTTGAACAAAAACATTTAAAACAAAATTAGCCTTTTTTTTCATGGTTTGTAACTCTTTCCCTTAGACTTTGGGTTGTAGAGAAGAGCAGTGTGTAAGAAATCAAACTAGAGATTGTCTTGGATAGGACATCCCGGAGTTTTTTAAATCAATGCCTGAGAACAGCAGCATTATAAATACATAAATTTTGAATCATATGGCATTATAAAAATAAAGAGATGGTACAAAAAAAATGCCCCCATAGCCCCCATAATCCTAATCACCAGAGATAAGAACTTCTACACAATACTAAAAGACACCTTATGTAATTGTCTAAAATAACTTTTAACACAAAAATGGGATTATATATTCTGTTTTTGCAATTAAAAAATTTCATTTAATTATCAATTTTCAATTCATGTATCTTCCCATTTTTCCCTGTCAGTGTACTTTATTCTTTTAAATAATTATGTTCTAATATGTGGCTTTAAAATCATTTATCCAGTGTTCCACTGATAATCATTTGGTTATTTCAATTTTCATACTGTTAAAATAGTGTTATAATAAGCCATTAGCATATATCCATATGTTTATGGAGTTGTTTGCTATATGGGATATAAATTATTTTCGTTAATTATGCTGATTTCATTTAGGATGAGAAAACAAAATGCAATAAATATGCTGATGAACTTGCAAAAATGGAGCTGAAATGGAAGGAACAAGTGAAAATTGCTGAAAATGTAAAACTAGAACTAGCTGAAGTAGAAGACAGTTATAAAGTAAGTTTAGTATCCATTCTGTGTTAACTTGAGGCATAGTACCTGGTACTTTAAAAAATGTATTATCTGTAATTTTTATTAAATCAAATGTACAGTTTCAATATGGATCATTCCAAGAGTATTTTCATCAATAGACGAAAATGTACTCTGAATGTAATTAAGTTGAATGTAGCTCATTAGCTCTTAACTGATACAGTAAATACCTATTGCCATCATGGCCTTAGTCTGTGGATTCAGATGGCTTTTAAAATTAGAACTTTTCATTCTGCTTTTCTAAGAAAGATGAAAAATGGAACAAACATGAAGTGTATATAAAATCATTTTAGAGTCTTAATATGTTTTGGGAGTCTAATAAGAAAGGATCGGTAATTTTTAAAATATCTTTGGGTTTTTAAACTTTATTACACATGTGTTACTTGTGATCCTAAATGAAGTACTGCAAAGTAAGTCATGCTGCTCGAATAATTTTTTAAGAAGGATTAGCATACATCTGGTCCCTATGCAGCATTTAAAGATGTCCCAAATGTCCAACTTTTCTGAACTGGTGTACCTGCCACTCCATCTTTTTTAACATCAACTCCTGTCCTCAGTTCTTTCCCTCCTGTCTTAGGGTTCTGTATTTCATTGTAACATCTCACAGAACTCACAGACTGCCAAGGAAATGGCTCATGGTTGTGGAAGCTGTCAAGTCCCACATCTGTGTATCAGGCGTCAGAATGGAGGATTCTCCTCACTTACGTGGTTGTAAGGGCCTGTGGACCCAAATTGGCAGGTCAGGTGATTGGCTGCTGTCTCAAGTTCCAAGAACCAGGGGTCAGATTATGATGAACCAGATGCAGGTTCCAGAGCCAGAGAGGAACTTGACCAGAACATTCATATATATTAGATTCAGACTGTACCCTCAGGGGAACAAAGAGTAGTGACTTAAGGCACACTCTTAGTAAGGCAGTCACTCAAGAAATAACCCGTTCTAATCCTGCCTCATTAACATAACAACTTACTCCAAAATGGGACCATAACCACAAGCATAGAGGCTAGGGTTTATAATACATCACAAAATGGAACACTGTGGCTAGAAGGCCTATATTAAGTAATTCACCCACTGACTCTTCTAGCCTTTGGTCCTTTCATAATTGAAGGATTAACTTGCCCCTCCAAATCATTTTACCAGTCCCAAATAGTCATCAGCAATTAGCAGTTAGTCCCTCAGTAAGGTAAAGAGTCATGAGGGTGAGGTACTCAGGTACGAGGCATTTCTACAGGTGTCCATCTGATCTGGTCAGGTTCTCCAAAATTTTGTCTTGTTTTCACCGTTTCTGGCCTCTGATAAAATTTAACAGCTGCTTCAATCCATGGGTGTTTTTTTTATCGTATTCAGAAACCAAAGGGTTCTCATTCTTCCATTTATCCCCTTTTTTCCCAAAACCACACATCCCAGTGAATCTGGGCCATTGCAGCAAACCCCACTGTTCTGACATCAACTGCTTAAATACTTTCTTTTAGAAGAATCAGCAAGAGCTCTGGTGGCATAGTGCCTAAGGCACTTGACTGCTAACCAGAAGGCTGGCGGTTCAAATCCACCAGCTACTCCTCAGAAGGAAGATTGGGCAATCTACTTCCGTAGTGATGCTGCCTCAGAAACCCAAGGAGGGGTCACTATGAGTCAGTGGCAAATAACAACAACAACAACAGAAGGATCAGCGCAAAGTTGGTCCTATGAAGTGGAGATTAAAGATGTCCCAAATATCTGTCTTTTCCAAACTGCTATACCACTCCATCATCTCTAATATCAACTGTTCCTCCTCCCCTCAGTATTCTCCCATCTTAAGGTTCCACATTTCACTATAACGTCTCACAGGACTCACAAACTCACAAGGAAATGGCTTACATAGTTGTAGAAGCTGGCAAGCCTCACATCTGTGGGTCAGGCATCAGTCTGGAGGATTCTCCTCACTTGTAGTCGCAGGGGCTGACAGACACTAATTGGCAGGTCAGATGACTGGCTGCTGTCTCAGGTCCCAAGAAACCGGGGTTAGATGATTATGAACCAGATGCAGGATCCAGAGCAGGAGAGTGAACTTTGCCAAAGCATTTATGTATATTGGATGCAGACCGTACTCTCAAGGAAATCAAGGGTTGTGACTTGAGTCAGACCCTCTAGTAAGGCAGTGACCCAAGAAATATCCCACCCTAATCCTGCCTTGTTAACATAATGGACAACTCACTCCAAAACAGGACCCTAATCACAGGCGTAGAAGCTAGGATTCACAATACATCACAAAATGGAGGACTGTGGTTAGAAGGGCTATATTAAGTAATTCATTGCACGGCAGATACCATCTTAATTAATGAGAAATATTTTTGCCCAGTGTAACATTAAGTAACAAACAAGCCCAAACGGTAAATGATATTTATTAGAAATGTTCAATGAAAAATTTAGCAAGCTGTCTGCGGCTAATTACTAATTACAGAGATGTTGTTTCCCCTGCAGAATAAAGTGTAATCTTATATATTTCAAGAAATTTGTATGTAATTTTTTTTGTTGTTAGTAATGATGGTGGGTGGAGACCAGGAAGTGATAAATTTAACTGTGTTATACAAGGGTCACTATGAGTTAGGATCGACTCAATGGTATTGAGTTTTGAATACTATAGCTAATTTTACCTATAATTCAGTTTTTGTATATAATCTTAATACACCAAGAATTAATGTTGGGTTTCTCCCATGGGAAAGTAAAGTGAGTGGTGCCTTCTAGGCTACAATAGTTATATTTGTGGTCCTGTTTTATTCTTGTATTGTCAGAATAAAAGTTATAAACATTTATTTCATAAGATTATTAATTGTTTTGGGGATCCCTGTGGATATTGTTTGGAATAGCTACCAACTTCCCTTATAATTAATCAGATGTGAATACTGAATTTATGTGAAAATTTTTTTTGCATATTGAGAAAAAGTGATTCAGAAGACATTTATTGAAGTCTGTTATGTATAAAGTACTATGTTAGCTATTATGTGTGTGACCATTTAAGGCACAATGCAGTGCCTAAGGAGTTTATAATATAGTAGGGGTTGCTAGAGATGTAATGGTGATGGTCACAACACTCACATACATTACCATAGTTTGAGAACTGTGAGCAGTCTTGAGTAATAGGACTTTAATATCTGTAATGGAGACTTGAAAAATAGGCGGAAGCTAGATTTTGAAGGACCTAACGTGACCTTTGAGTGCTGGTTATTAAGAATTGTGTAGGAGGAGGAGGATGCAACCAGAGTGGAGCGTTATTTGGTGGCAGTGAAGAGAATTTACAGAGGGGCAAGGAGTACAGAGGTAAGGAAATTGGTTAGAAATAGTCTTAGAATAAATTTATAAAGGCCATCTCCTCTTGGGTACCTTTTCTGATCACCTCCTATTGAATAGAGCATTAACCTAGAAAGGAACCTATCAAAGACATCTTTAGGGAAGAACCATTAAAGAATGTTTTACTTATATTTGTGTCTACAATGCATGTGTTGTAGTAGTTGATCAGAAGATGGTTGCTGAATAAGTGAATGACTTAGACAGTGTTAGGAAGTGGAAGAAGAGTGTTGAACTTGAGTCACATTGGGCTATGAGATTGATGATATCAGTTCAAAAAAATAGGAAAATGGGTTTGGGATATTTTGCCCTTATTTTGCAGGAAAGACAATAATGAAAACATGTCTAACTATCAATTTAAAAGGCAGAATTGGAACTTGGGAAAGAGAGGTTGGTGCAGGAGTGGTTATTTGTGATTTATACTCATGCAGGTATGATAGTTGAAGGCATGGAAGCAAGTACATTTTTAGAGAAAATACAGAGAGGAAGCCAAAGAAGAAACTTTGGAGAATACCTGTATTTGAGATTGGGAGGACACAAGAGAATAGAACACAAACAAAAGGCCTGGGAGAATTACAGTATTGGTGAAATTTTATGTAAACCAGGAGAGGAGCTTCAAGACTAAGGAAAGTGCTCCAAAATGGCAAATAATGCAGAGAAGTGAAAAGAATAAGAACTGAGGAAAGTGCACACATTTAGTAAAAGGATTGTTTGGGTAGAATGGTATAAACTAGATCTCAAAGTATAAGGAGGGAGTAGCTAATGAAAAAATTCCTAATTTCTTTCTTTATGCAGCTTCAGTTGGCAGAGAAGGACAAAGAAATAAATGGTCTAACTTCACACTTGGAAAACCTCTCCAGGGAGAAGGTATTAAGCAATGTTCTTTTTTTTTTTTTTTTTCCTTTTAAAATATAATATGACACTGTAAATGATAATACAGCTTTATGAAGACATTTTACAGTGCATGGTAAGATGGTATTAAAAAATTGAAGGAAGAAAAGGCTGAAACAAGTGTTAAAAAACTCTTAAATGAAAAGTATTTGTAGCTAAATAATATTTTAAAATATGAGAAAAATATTGAAGTGGTGATGGTTTTTTATTTAACAATAAACATGTTACAGTGTTCAAAGTAAGAAAAAATCTTGAACTTTAAAAAAATTTATACATATTTATCTGATTTTCTTTTGTAATAGCAGGTATTTTAGAAGTTGTTTAACTTTTTGCATAACCTAACTTTCAAATAGCATACATTTATAAAGTAAAAGATGTTATATTACTGTGTTTGTCAAAGTGTGGTCTATTAGGGTGTCAGGGTTCTGGAGCTCCTTTCAGGGGTCTGCAAAGTCAAGCCTGCTTTCATAATAATACTATAACATTGTTTTTTGTTTTTGTTTTTTCCTTACTATGTTATACTTGCACTGTTGGTGTGAAAGCAGTGGTGGGAAAATTGTTAGTATCTTAGTGTGAATCAAGGCAAGGAACAAATTGTATTGATAGTTACTGTATTCATCACCACCGTGCACTGGTAGTTTTTTTTCTTTTTTTCAAGCCAAGTAAGATGATGAGGCGGTTAAATGCATTAATCTTATTGAAGCTCGATCCTTGGATACATGTCTGTCTGGTATGTTGTGTGATGAAATGGGAA